TACGGTACGGTACGGTAGGTAGGTAGGTACGGTAAGGTAAGGTAGTAGAGGTAGTAGTAGACGAGAGAGAGAGAGAGAGAGAGAGAGAGAGAGAGAGAGAGAGGGAGAGAGTGTGTGTGTGTGTACACGCACCGCTCAAGGGTAATTTTCTGTGGGCTTCACGATGGGAACGCAATGGCGTGATGGCAAGCTAGCTTTACTGGGCTGTAGGAACTGAAAAAAAATGACGCTTTCTTGCCCAAATTATGAGAAACCAGAGGGTTACAGAACATAAATAAAACAAGATGCTTCCATATGCAAAACAGTAGAGTTGGCTCCCTACCGCACGCCATACCTAAAAAGTAACCCCAAGTGGACCAAAGATCTAAATGTGAGAGCTAAAAGTATAAAATTCTTGGGGAGAAAAACAACCTAGGTGTGAATCACCATGACCTCGTATGAGGCAATAGCCTTTAACATATGACACCATCAACACACAAGTAACTAAAGGAAAGACAGACAGACCGGACGTCAACAAAATGTAAAATTCTGTGCATCAAAGGACACTGTTAAGAAAATGAAAAAACAACACAGAATGGGAGAAAATATCTGCAAATTGTGTATCTGACAAGGGACTTGTATCTGGAATATATAAAGAACTCTTGTAACCCAATAATAAAAAGACAAATAACCCAGTGAAAAACGGGCAAAGGGTCTCAATAAACATTTCTCCAAAGAGGATACACCAGTGACCAGTAAGCACAGGAAAAGATGCTCAGCATCATTAGTCACCAGGAAAACGTGAGTCCACACCTCGGTGAGTTACAACTTCACAACCAGCAGGACGGCTGTAATCAGAATGGCGAGTGTTGGCAGGAATGTGGGGAAACTGGAGCTCTCACACATCACTGGCAGGAATGTGAAATGGTGCAGCTGCTTTGGAAAATGGTCTGGCGCTTCCTCAAAACGTTAAACACAGTGCTACAAACAACCTCACAGTCCCACTTCTAGGTATATACCCAAAAGCAATGAAAATATTTATTGACACAAAAACTTGGGGATGAATGTTCATAGCAGCATTATTCACAATAAACAAAAAAAGTGGAAACAATCCAAATGCCCATCAGCTGATGAACAGATAAATAAAATGTGGCATATCCATTCAACGGAACAGTATGCAGCAATGAAAAGGAACGAGGCACTAATACAGGCTACCACAGGGATAAACTTCAAAAACACTATGCTCAGCGTAAGAAGCCAGGCATGCAAGACCACCTGTTGTATGATTCCATTCATGTGAAATGTCCTGAAGAGGCAAATCCATAGAGACAGAAAGTAGGTTAGAGGTTTCCAGGGGCTGGAGGTGGGCGAATGGGGTGTGACTGCTAACAGGTATGAAATTTCTTTTTGGAGTGATGTTGATGTTCTAACATCGATAGCAGTCGTGGTTGTGCAACTGTGCACATACTACAAACAGCTGAATTGTACACTTTAAATGGATGAATTGACTAGTACATAAGTTATATCTCCATAAAGTAGTTACAGAAAACAAACAAAACACACACAAACACCCCACAAGAACGCCTTGCCCTTCTCTGTTGAGGTCTGGGAAGACGTGCAGTGCCAGAGGTGTAACCTGCAGCGCCAAGCTCATTCCTCCGGGCTGGACCTAGCATGGGGCTAGGGGTCCAGGGTCCAGTGAGGTGGGATGGGAGTGTCAGGGTGAGAGCTTCCAAGAGCATTATGCATTACTGAACAAACATTTTGGAATCAACTGATGGATGAGATCACGCAAACACAGGAGGCTGATTCTGGTGCCTGGGGAAGCATTCCAGAAGGAACAGCTAACGAAGGCCCATGCCTTCCTCTCTGAAGTCCCCACACAGCTGGAGTAGGGGTTGGAAAGGCACGGTGACCTCAAATGCCCCAACCTCAACTGGACCTGGTAACCGGCTCCTCCCAGGCCCAAATGGAGCAGAGCCCTTTCCTTGATGCAGATGGCCAGGCGAGGACAAGGCATTTCCACTTTAGAGATTGTCACAAATAAGATTAGCAGTCTTCACCCTCTGGAAAATTTGAACACATCCCTGTCTAAAAGATAAAGCAAACGTTCCAGCTGCTCAGGGGAGACGGTCGCGCAGTCGGTTGTCCGTTCAGCGGGAGATCCCACCGCCTAAATAATGCCCAGCAAGCCCGTGTTACCCGCGCACCCACGGGAAAGCGCTCACCGCAGAAAGACTACAGCCACACAGCTAAATAACCGTGCTTGCTACACTTGAGGAGACAAAAGGCGAGACTGAGGATTGTGGCCAAGGACTTGAAACCAGTAAGAATCACAAAGAACCAGGTGGAGACTCTGGAAGCGGAAGTTGAAGCAGGTGAGACGAAGAACCCGGTGGAGGAGGGTCCCAGCACGTCACACAGAACCGAAGATGGAAATCCGCGAGGCAGAGGTATCAGAAAATACCCAGAAGGAAGCATGGAGAGACAAGGAGATGGAAACACAGAGACCTAGGCTCGGAAGTCACACCGCAGCCACGTGGGCCGCGCCCCAGCCCGCAGCCCAGCCCGAGGAGGGAGGGGTAGCAGACTCTGCCTCTTGTTGGGAGGAGCTAAAAAGAATTTGCAGCCATATCCAATCCACCAGACACGCCACTTACAATATGTCACTTACCACGGGGTAAGTCTAACAGAAGGTGTGTAGGACCTCTACAGAGGGAACTATAAAACATCACGAAAAAAATAAACTTTGAATCTATGGGCGGTATGTTGGTTCCTGCCCTCTGAGGAGCAGACGCCAAGGCAGGACGGGAAATTCAGGAGATTTGTAATTCTACAAGGTTATAACTCAGGCACGGCCAGATGGAAGAGGGACACAGGGCAACAGGAAAGGGGCTGGGCGCTTCCCCGCTCCCTGGGGAGTGGGCCACCCTCCTCGCACCTCCAGGAGTTCATCAGGCCGAAGCTCGCCACAGTCTACAGATCAGAGTGTTTTAAGGAGGCTTCATTACGCTGATTGGCCATCGGTGACTGATCCAGTCCGCAGTTCCCCTCCCCTCCCCGGAGGTAAGGGTGTGTATGTGAAGGTGCCAACTCTCTCATCAAGGTTGGTTCCCTGGCAACCAGCCTCCATCCTCAGGGTCTTTCCCAAAGTTACCTCATTACCACAAACTCTGATGTGGTTGAAAGGAACTTGTTACCAATAACAAAAGACAACTTTATGGCTCTTAGCACTTAGGAAATTCCAAGGGTTTTAGGAGCTCTCTGACAGAAATGAGGAGCAAATATACATTTCTTATTATAAATCACACCATCACAGAGCCCAAAACAGACTCAAGCAGGCGTGGACACCTGATTTTTCCAGAAAGGAGCACTTCACAGCATGGAGCAAAGGACAGTCTTTCCAGAAATCATGAGTGACTGAGGGTCTCTATGATAAAAAATAAGCCGCATGTATAAAACAGATAAACTGCTGTACAGCACAGGGAACTATACCTTGTAATAACCTGTAATGGAAAAGAATCTGAAAAAGAGTTTATATGTATATAGAGCTGAATCACTTTGCTGTGCACCTGAAACTAACACAACATTGTCAATCAACTATACTTCAGTTAAAAAAAATAATAAAATACAATAAAACTTGGCCTCTTTCCTCACACTATAAACAAGAATAATTCCCGGTGGCCTGTAGATCTGAAGGGGAAAGGCAGAACAAAAAGCCTCTAGAACACAACAGAGGACAGAGTAGTCCATAACCCCATGAGGCTGGGGCAGGGAATCACATTTTGAAAAAGACACCAAAGGACTAATCATAACAGAAAAGTCTGATGAATTCTACTGCAACAAAATTAAGGATTGTTTTGGATGAGTGAGTGAGGAACTAACAGAAATCACGAAGGGTTTAGAACGTTCTGGAAGTGAAAGCTGTGGCATATGAAAATTTGTGGGCTGCAGGGGAGTCAGTCTCAGAGGGAAATAGATCCCCTCAGCTGCACTCATACAAAAACAAGAAAGATTTAGAAATAAGTGAACCACGCTGCCCACTTTTGAAGCCAGAAGAAGAGCAACAAAAATACATCCAAAGAAAATAACAGGAAAGAAAATGAAAGCAGAGATGAGTGAGACAACGCAAACAAAACAACAGAATGAAATGAAGAGCTTGTGTCTGGAAAGCGCCGATAGAATAGGCCTTCGGGAAAAAAAAAAGCATCAGGAAAAAAAAGAAAGACACAAAATAAACAACATCAGAATTAAAGAGCATAACCAGGAGATTTAAAAATATGATCAGAAACGACTTAATACCCCACATTTGAAAAACTTGATGAAATGGACACTTTCATAAGAAAACACTTTAGTAGCATAAAATTGGCCCAGGAAGAAAGAGAAAAATCTGAATAGGTCAATGACCCAAAAGGAAGCTGAAATATTAAAGACTGCCCTCAAAAGGCATCTGGAAGTTGTAGACACAAAAAACAACTAAACTTGGTAATTATTAACTAAAAATGCTGGGCAGCATCTTCGTGACCTTGAAGTCGGGACAGCCTTCCCAAACAGGAGAAAACAGCGAAGCCGTAAAGGGTGATGTTAATAAATCTAACCGTACGGAAATCTAAAAGCAAGGAATCTTAACAGAGTTCAAGTGGACAAACATCTGTTCCATTTACATATATAGGAGGCAAAATGCTCATGTGCAGAATATGCATGACTCTTACACACCAGGAAGAAAGATACCGCAGTAGAAACAGGTCGAGACCCCCAACAGGACTGACACGGAAGAAATAATTCACTTCCAAACGGCCGGCCAACACTAACACCGCTAAAGCTTCCATTTCAGACAACAGCGAGATCCCTACGGGCGAACGCCAGGTGAGCAAAAGCCTTGGAGTTTGACAGTGTCAGTGGGTAACCTGAACTTACCCCTCGCTGGGCAGGTTGTCGGTGGCGGAGCCCCTCCGGGTGGCAGCTTGCTAGTGACTTAAAACCAAAGATGTGCGTGCTGTTACTATTAGCAACTCTAATCCTGTTTT